TTTTTTTTTTTTTGACATTTTGATTTTCAACTATACATTCATATGATAAAATATTTTACTTGTAAACCAAAAAATCTTTCATTACATTTTAACCACACATTTTTTTAAAGCACTATTCAAAACTCTTTTTTTTTTTTTTTTATAAAGACAAATCATCAGATAGGCGCTTAACCACGCATTCACATAATAAAATATTGTGCACGTAAATTTAAAATTTTTTCTAACTCTTTAATTACACATTATGGTAAAAATCATTATTCAAAACCTTATTTTTCCTAAATAACGATTGTCAAACAGGGTTAAATGAGTCACGTAATTGCACTAATAATATTAGATAGTATTATTTAAAATTATTATAAAACAATTTGTCAAATAATAACATAACGGAATTGCCACCTCATCCCACACAGTGACTCCAGATTTCTCTTATAAATTACACCAACACTCCAAACTCACACCCAAAGTTGCTAAACAAAACCCAACAAATTGTCATATCATATCATGTGCGATAGCCTCAAGAGCGACTACCAACTGTGCGAAGAGCTTGGCCGTGGTAGATTCGGCATAGTCTACCGCTGCTACTCTCCCGATACCGGCGACTCTTTTGCCTGCAAATCTATCCACAAGAGTTCCCTTTCCGAGGACCCCACCGACCGTCAATGCCTCGACAAGGAGCCTAAGATTCTTCAGCTCCTTTCTGGCTGTCCCAATATTCTTCAGCTGTATAAAATCTATGAAGATGATGATTATCTGCATATGGTGACGGATTTATGCGACGGCGGGGATTTATACGACAGGGTTTCATTGGGAACGCCGTTTACTGAACCTGAGGCGTCGGCGGTTTTGAAGGAGTTGATGATTGCTATTAGTTGCTGTCATCAGTTAGGGATTGCCCATAGAGACATTAAGCCGGATAATATTTTGTTTGATACTGCCGGGCGGTTGAAGCTAGCGGATTTTGGATCCGCCGAGTGGTTTGGTGTTTCCGAGGAGGGGCTCATGACGGGGGTTGTGGGGACGCCCTATTATGTGGCGCCGGAGGTGCTGATGGGGAGGGAGTACAATGAGAAGGTGGATGTATGGAGTGCTGGAGTGATTTTGTACATTATGCTGAGTGGGGTGCCGCCGTTTTATGGAGAGGGGCCGGCCGAAACTTTTGAGGCGGTTTTGAGAGGGAATTTGAGGTTTCCGTCAAGGATTTTCCGGTCGATTTCGCCCGAGGCCAAGGATCTGCTAAGGAAGATGATTTGCCGGGATGCTTCCCGGCGACTCTCTGCCGACCAAGTCCTGAGTTAGTATTTTTCCTTCTCAATCTCAACTCTTGATGTTTTTCTTTACCAAGAAATTCACAAAAATCTGCCCTCAAATTGGGTTTAATTTTGCTTCATTTATCTTAGCCACTGGACAAGATTGCATTCGGAATCATAATTGATGTAATTTTGTTTATGAATATGCAGGGCATCCATGGATCATTAGTGGAGGAGACACCCGATCAGTGTCTGACCAAACCTGAGTCATAAAAACAATGTCTAATAGCTGCTGGTGTAAATACTCCATCTCCCGGCCATTTCTTGAAGGATTAATGGAGATGGAAGAAGAATGTCCAGGATGCAGTACTCGATAAACTGGACTGTAACGAATGTCAATATTGTCAAGTATTGTATAGTCGACCCTACTGAAAGAGGCTTCGGGTCGAAGGTTCTCCCCCATGCTTTTTCCCTTTTTGTTATGAAGTTGTGGAAATGTGTGAGAGAAGCCAAGGCCATCCCTCTTTCCTCGTTCTCTAATATAAGAAGAGACTGTATATGATGATAAACGAGACAAGCATAGTCATGTATATCGGAAGGTTAAAAATCCCCTCTATTTTCATTCCTTTTTCTTGGTTAGAGGGAGGGTACTCTATTGTAAGAATGTTGTACGTTTTGCATGAAATTTCAATTTCTAATGTATTTCACCTTTCAAGTTTTCGAAAATATTGGGGGTTCGAAATGAAAAAGAAAAAAATAATAAAGGGTATCTCCTGTTATTGAATCTTGATGTATTGGCATATTCCTCGGAGTGTTTACTGGATTCCTAGATTCCATGTTAAGCAACACAAAAGTATAATTGGTCAACAATGAATTTAGACTTTCCAATGACTTTTTATAACCCTTAGTACTCATGGCTGTACGTCTTGTTTTTCATTCCATGTGAGGGAACCCACACACTTTTTGGGTTTTGCTGAAGTAACAAGGAGGCGGTCATCCCCACAAATAGGGGGGGTCCAGCGAAAAAACATGGAACCTCCCCCATTTGTGGTGTTCGGTCGGGGAGGCTATCAGCAATGGGGTTGGGCAGGCAGTCAACTTTCCTGTTTTCCTAGTAAAACCCCCATACTTTTTCTTTTTCTTTTTCTTTTTNCCATAATCTTTCGAATTTAGTCCTCCACACATTTCAATATAGTGTGCAAATTAATCCCCAAATTCTCGATGAGTTGAATTTTACTCCTGAAACTTGCAATTTCACTTTGATTGCTCTTTTAATGCTTCTTATCAAGTTCAATGCAATTTAGTTAGTCTTCAATTATTTCCAATCAATTTCAATTTAGCTCAAAAACTCCTTTTTGCTCCCAATAACTTCAAATCCAAGTTTAACCTACAATAATATATTTATACCAAATTAAGTAAAAGTTGGCTCAATTTTAAAATATTAATAATGTTTGCTTATGAGCCGCCAACATTAAAGTTGACATTATTGAGCTCATTGGCTGGATAATCGTTTCCTAGTTTCAACTAATCTGCAACTAGTATGACTATGACCTCCCCCAAACCCACCTCCGAAGTTTTTCTAATAGCTCCATGTTAATTACAATGGATAGGCGCCGATAGATTCAATTTAGTTTTCTATCTATTAGAAAAAAAATTCAAATGTTGCACTTGTTCTCAAATAGAGAAATAAGCACACTGCACACCGAATGAGACCATGCCTTAGGCACACCGAATGAACATGCAAGTTAATTAACAAGTGACCTATTGGCTTACATCATTGCATTCATATTAGAGTAACTTTTTCTTACAAAACATATATTTATGAAAAATGCTAATGGTACATAATTATATGTACATAAGGGTGTCCTCCCTCTCACATGGGGGTCCCACTCGAATATTTCTTAAACTATTTCGAACAAGCACCAAGTATAATCATAGAATATTCTTTATATATTCTGCAAATGGTGAATAGGCTACTTTACAAGATGAGGTGTTTAGTAAAAAAAGAAATAAGTAAAAAATTAATATTATGTTCTAAATAGTCAAGGTATTTAATACAATAACATTTCTAGAACTAAATTCCATAAAATAATGAATCGTGAAGAAACATTTATTTATAAATATAAGAAGTATTCGAGTGGGGCTCCCCATGTGAGAGGGAGGACACCCTTATGCATCA